CCTCACTAACCACCTTTTCCTCAGGAAACTTACATTAAAAAAGTCGGCATTACGGGCCCCTCATCTAATCTTAAAGAGATATGCTTTCTGGATTTCACATGTTGAAAAAGCAAAGAGTTATGTTGTCTTGGGAGTCATTAATCAAATTTTAAAAATACATGTTTGTGCCCTTTTTGCATTGGAGCTGTTTCTTACTGGCTTTAACTTCAGCAGTGTGTGGAAGATTTTTTTAAAGATAAATTTTTTTAAAAATATTTTTTTTAAAGATTTATTTATTTATACAAGAACTGGGGTATAGACCAGAGATGCAGGAGGGTGAGAGGATTCACCAGAGACAGAGCAGGGAGCAGAACATCTGCCGCGCCATGTGGCCATCTCCTTGGCTGGCCAGGAATCGAACCCACACTGCAGAGGCTGCGGACAGCTTCACAGCGCTGTGCTCAACCTGCTGCGCTACCAAGGAGGCCCTTAAATGTACTTCCATCCCTTCAAATTTATGTGGGAGTGTAGTGAACCCCGTTCCATGCTTCTGCAGGGAATTGCAGGAGGGCTTGCTTTACATTCTCACAGTCAGCTTTAGTTCTGTATTTCCAGATATCTTGCTTATTTTTTCTTGGCGCATCATAGGACTTTTTTTATGTTTTAAAAATCTACTCTGGTATTAACCCCAATCTGAAATCTAGCTCCTTCCTTTTCATTCTTTTTGAAAAGCCCCACCCACACTTTACTTTTGCACATGTCATAGACTTTCTGAAGCTTTGGGAAAACTTACAACTTAAAACAGTATTTAGGTGCTTCATATCTTAAATGATGTGTCCTCTCAGCCACAGTTAGGAGTATCTTCTTTCTCTAGTCTTCTTTTTTTCCTCTCCTGGCTCTTCCTGAACAGGAACAGCACCCCTGCCATGTTTGGACAAATAGCCCTTGTGTTCTCCAGCATCTCTATGCTCACCCTCAAACTCAGCACCTTCCTGCTTTACACAGCGAAGGAGTCCTGGCCTTTGCAGGAACCCCTGACTGGGGCTCCTGACCTCTCTTTTCTATTGCTTCTGCTGGAGGGATGAACAGAGGGTTTTCCATAACATGAGCACTTAAGAGAAAGCTGGGTGCAGGCCTCCCCTAGTGGCGCAGCGGTTGAGCGCTGGGCTGCGAAGCTGCCCACAGCCTCTGCAGCTCCGGTTTGATTCCTGGCCACCGATGAGGGTCCCACATGGCGCGACAGACCTCTCTTGCCACGCCCGCTGCTCCCCCAGCAGTGTGTTTGTCAGTCTGCCTGTTCTGTTCCCCACTCTGGCTCTGGTGAATTCTCTCATCCTCCTGCGCTTCTGACTGTCCCCAGTGCTTGTATAAATAAATAATATCTTTTTTTTTAAAGATTTATTTATTTATTTATACAAGCACTGGGGACAGTCAGAAGCGTGGAAGGGTGAGAGAATTCAACAGAGCCAGAGTGGAGAGCAGAACAGAGAGTGTGACGAAGTACACTGCTGAGGGGAGCAGTGGGTGTCAGGAGAGGTCTGCGCGCCATGTGGGACCCTCCTCCGTTGCCCTGGGAGCAGCTGGGAATCGAACCAGCTGCGGGCAGCTTCACAACCCAGCGCTCAACCGCTGCGCCACTGGGGAGGCCCCTAAATAAATAATATCTTTAAAAAAAGAAAAGAAAAGAAAACAAACAGATGAACAGATTTTTAAAAAAGGTTTTTTTTTTAATTAAAAAAAAAAAGAAAGCTGGGTGCGCCCCATGAGGAGGCTAATGAAGTTAGGAGAGGGAAAATGAACCTCCAGAGGGACTGTAAGTAGAGGATGGACGGGTAAGGTCTAGCTTAAGGGCATCTACATGTGTGTCATTCATGACTCAGCGTTTGGTCTGTTGGTGTTTCAGTAACCATTGAAACTCAGGGTGGTCATCATTTCATGATATTTGTAAGTCAAATCATTATGCTGTACACCTTCAGCTGTTATAGTACTAGGTGTCACTTCTAACTCAATAAAACTGTGGGCAGGGACCGGTACTGTAAGCCTCATGTCACTGTCAAGAGAATCTTCACACTATTCATTTAAACATCAGAATTTGCAATTAGGCTTTTCTCCCCTGAAGACCATGTCCTGTCTTTATCAACTTGTGTTCTGTGCAGTTGAGCCATGTTTAATAGACAACTAGATACCAGTTTGGCCCTCCTGGTTCTCTTTTAGCCATTACCTGCATGGGGTGTTCAACTCAGGGTCACACCAAGCTCTGTTCCTCTCTGAAGCTTTAACAGACAACCAGTGAATAGGTTTTAAGGATTTTTCAAAGGAAGTTGGATCTTATAATTTAAATTGTGCTGGGATTTTATTGTTACTAAAAAAAAAAAGTACTAAAATGTAAAAAGGAAACCTGTGGTTCAGATGTATTGTGTTGTATGTTCTTGGCAATTCAATGAAATAAAACTCTTAAGTTCCTCCTGGGGTTAATAGTATCCGCATGCTTGTTGTCTGCCAGCCCGTAGGTCAGCTTGTGGTACAGAGATTTGGATGGATAATAAGATTATAAAACATGCTTCTTGCTTGCCAGCTACCACATGCTAATAATCATAGTAGCCATAGTTTACTGGAGTCCTGTGTTTTGATTTTACTTGGTTTGCTGAATTTAAGGAATAAAAAAATTAAATCTTTAGAAGAAACAAGGGTGTGCTGCATAAAGGCAAAATGTTTATCCTTTCAGTATAATTTGACTTCCTCTAGTTAAGTAAGCAACTTCCATCCCAAGGTAGAACGTTGCTGTTTTAGCTGGCAATGAGGAGCAGAGGTAGGAAGTATGTTTGGTTAGTTTAGGCAAATTTTCTCCAGTTTGGCTCTTTGAAATGTTGGGCTGGTTAATTCTGTGCTGGGGGCGGCAGGGGGGCTGGGCTGCGCACTGGGGCGTCTTTAGCACCATCCAGGGTCTTTGCCGCTAGAAGCCAGTAGTTCCTTTCTCCCCCAGAATGACAATCAAAAATGACTCCAGATTTCACAAATGTCCCCTGGGGAGCATATCACCTCCTCTCCCCTTTTGAGCACTGCTGGCTTAAATCTAATGAGTTCAAAAAGGGTTTATTATTTACCCATTTTGTCTAAGCCAAGGGAGCAAGAAGTTACCTAGAATTTTAAATTGCATTCTGCCATACTTTTTTTCTTTCCGGATGAATCACAATTCAATTTTAACTTGAAGTTTGAGAGGTTTACACAGTTAGAAATAAGTAGACCTGTCCATTTTCTTATGCTCATAGGTGGTTGCTTGTGATTACTGGAGTTGCATGTAGCAGAAGTGATTGATGGTCTCAGTAAGTTCACATTAACCTTAGAGGCAGTCTGACCCTTTGTATCTTTTTCTTCTTTTGCTGGAAATCTTTTATAGTTCAGTGATCCCCAGGGATTCATTGAATTGAATAAGTTCAAATTGAATAAGGGGAAATTGAATAAGTTCAAATAATTTAATGCCTATTTCCAAATAATTCTTATTACCTGATGCTTTTTAAAAACATGGGAGGAGGATCATGAGGAAAAATAAACATGCATAGATTTTGAAATTGTGTTTATTTTCTGATAAGCTTTAGTTAAAAAAAACTTATCATTTTATATGAACCTTTTTTCTTTCTTTCTTTTTTAAAGATTTATTTATTAATGCATATAAAACCTGGGGTACAGGTCAGAGATGCGGGGGGCGAGAGGATTCACCAGAGACAGAGTGGGGAACAGAACAGGCACATTGACTGAAATACACTGCTGAGGGGAGCAGTGGGCGAGGCTGGAGAGGTCTACTGCACCATGTGGGTTGCTCCTGGGCCAGCCGGGGATCGAACTTGAGCTGCAGAGGCTGCGGATTGCTTCATAATGTGGTCCTTAACCGCTTGCGCCACCAGAGAGGCCACTATATGAATCTTTTTAAATATAATATGCACAGGAATCTGCTAGACTCTTTTACCTTTTTTGCATTTTTAAGTTAATACTGGGGATGTTGGGATTTAATAATTTTCATGGGTGTGGGAAATACATTGGTAATTCTTGAGCACTGGTTCTCAGTCTTGGTAACTCATTAGAATTATCTGGGGATCGTTGAAATAACCCAGGACCCAGACCACATCCCAAACCAGTAAAATCAGATGTTCTAGGGGTGATGCCCAGGCAACAGTGCTGGGTCCCCTCCCTCTCTTATTTGATGGGAGTGAATGTTGAGAACCAGTACACATTTTTGTAAATAAAGTTTTATTGGAACACAGCCATGACCATTTATTTACTAATTGTCTAGAGAGCTTATGACATGCAAAATGTAAATTATATACTGTTTGGTCATTTACCAAAAAAAGCTTGCTGACCCCTACTCTACACTCACAGTGAGCATTTTTCAAGTATATTGAAAAAAGAATTTGTAGAAATTTCACAGTAAAAGAAAAATCTGGCATTTTGCAAAATTTGCAGGCTCAAATTCTTTTTTTTTTTTGTATGTGTGAAAAATTAAAAAAACATTCTCCTTAGAGAACTAACTCGAAGATGTCAAATTGGAAGGAGATATGACCCACTTTAAATCTAGAGCTTTGTTACAGGCACCCTTGGTTTTCATGAGGTACTGTCACTTTGCTTTTTCAAAAGGCCTATATTACTACCTGTTTTTGTTACAGGGCAGGGAGAGGGGAACCCCAGACCCCTGCAAACCTGCCTGCTCTAAATAGGTTCTACCATCCGCCGCATCAACACAAAACATGAGACTTTAATGGGAAGGAACTTTAATACAATTAGGAAACAATAGAGGAAAGGCAAAGAATATAGTTTCTAAATCAAGTGCCCGAAGTTACCCATCCCCTCGTGGGTAAAAGTCCATCCAAATGGGACTGGCCCAGAGCAAGTCCCCAAAGCCTGCCACAAGTCTAAAGCATCTTCCAGTGGGGACCCACAGAAAAGAATGAGAAACAACCAGACAAGTCTGGAGGGAAAAGAACAAAATCAAAGTCAAGACAAAAACCGCCATTGTCATGTCCCCACAGGTCTCTCACCCACATCTGTGTCACCCAGTCCACGATCAAAAGGCAAGTGCAGTGTCTTCATGTGTCTCTCTGCTCCATGTGCCTCCTCCAGGTCTCCTTCTGGCTCCATCCTGCTTCCTTCCTTCCTCAGTCTCTTCTGCAGCTTCTTCTCTCCCTGCTTAGCTCCACCCTCCCTTGGGTGGGGCAGGAAACCTGGAACCTCCCCCTTTCCTGGGGACCACCCCGTTACATTTTTACCAACTGAAAGACATTAGAAGGGGAGTCCACTCTTAACGAGAAAGATGAAAAGCAAAAATAGCAGAAGTGCATTTTGCAGGAGCTCTTCTAGAGACTCCTTCCCCAGGACTACTTCATAGGGGCCTGGGTAGTGACCATGCCACTCCTGCTTTTACTATATGTGAGGGTGATTTTAGTAAAATGTTTCACATGTTATTTGGTAGGTTATTTTGGGGGGTCTGAGAAAGCGGAATTTTTTTCCCGTAAATGAATAGTCATTTCTCTTTGGCTTTATGCCAGTTTCAGCTTAGGGAAGAGGTCATAGGAATTCAGATAGCGGGGACATCTGTATTTATACCATGGCATTTCCTACTTAAAAGTTGCTACTTCTAGTTCAGTGTTCATTACTTACATTGTCTAATTGACTTGAGGAAAGTCTATAGAGACAGAAATGGTTCTTTAATGCAGAAAGTTTGAGTTTGTTTATTAGCATGGCAGCAATTCTAGATGGCAGTAGACCCCTGAAAAAATACTACTAGCTCTGAGTAATCTTACATACATGTGAAGAGAAAAATAATGAAAAATTAACAACGCTATTCATATTATTTCCACCCTCCCTCAGTTTAGGTGGTAACTCTATGGTGGTAAACAATTGGTTTAAAGAGTTTCGAAGATCCCTCTCTGGGCTTGGGCCCTCCCCTAAAGACACTTAAGCCTGCAGAATCAGCTGTCTCCTGAAGCTTGTCAGACTTGGAGACCCCCACCCAGGCTAATCTACATTCTAATAGGATCCCCCTCCCCGCCGATCATTTACATAAACATTATCAGAGCCCTGGGAAGCACCATCTAGTGGATAACTGTGTCTGCGCAGTTAACTCACCATTGATTGTAGCCGCCTTCTTAAATGGTTTCATGGCTCCTCAAGGCTCTCCTGACCAGGATTCTCAGTTGGGGGCAGCCAGTTTTTCCCCTTTGGCTACTTCCAAGCTTGCATGTCCACTTACTTAGTTAAGATTTATATGGTGATAGAAAATTAAAATTGGGTGGTGGAGCTAGAAGAGATACCAATTTATATGCTTCCAAAACTAGAAAGAATAAAGGGAACTGGCGAGATAACACATGAAATGGGGTCATCTTGGCATCTCCAAAAAATAATCTGTCCATCGAGGCATACATTTGTAGCAGGGAGCAGTTGAGCGGGTCAAAAATGAATTTCTTGAGCTTCTCAATTTAGTACACAGGACCTGGGCCTTCCTCACAAGCAATGCCACAATATCCAAATACACATAAGCCTATATTACTTGGGAAATTGTCCAAAATGTAGATATTCGTAGAAAATCTTGAGGAAGACCAGTAATAATTTCACCTTGCCACACCCTGTCAAGTGAATACTATTTTCTTAATCTAACACAGCAGTCTAAAGATTGGATTGAAAAACAAGATCTCAGAAATATTCCTTAATTCTTAAACAGAATTAGTTTATCCTAAACATTGCATTAGATCAGGTTTTGTGATATTAGTACCATGTAAACTTAATTTTAAAAGTAACAGAAATAACTGGAATCTGGCTGTTCTTGCTGTGAAGATATGATCATGCATTTAATACTCAGTGTCTGCATCAGGGTCTGAACAGGACACACAGCTGTAGATGTTCATGGAAGTGCCCCATCGTATTGGGAACTTGGAAGTGGGGCCTCTCCGAAGCCTTTAGCGCACACATCCTTAGCTTTGAATGAGATGTCATAAAAGTTGCTCCACTGTCCCAAAGACAGGGCCTGAATGTTAGAGTAAAGGCATGACTGCTGAGCCCAGATGTGAGCTGCCACAGCTAATGAGGGACAGCATGTGCCTCCTTCCGCCTTCCAAGTCTTCACATCCTGTTAGCAGAATCCAAATCACCTTAGAACCCAAGGAAATGGAGATCACAGATTCTATTCTTGCTTCAGGGAAAACGTAGAAGGGGATGCGAATGGACAAGGACCAGCACAGCATCAGGCTAATGACAGCAGCTTGTTACTCTCACACAATCTGGGGGTTGTTGTATTATAGCGCAGGAGGAGGGGTACCCCAGGACTCCCAAAGCTGTCTGCTCTAAACAGTTTTTGCCATCCACTGCACAAAGACAAGCCACATTCCCAGTACACAAGACCTTCAATGGGAAGACACTTTAATACAATTAGTGCACAATAAAGAGAGACAGGAAAGAATAAATAAAGTAGTTTCCATGTGAAACACCATTTATCCCCTTGTGGGCAAATGCCCAACCCAAACAGGGTGGGACCAAAGCAGGATCACTGAGACCCAAAATCTTGCCACAAGTCTAAGACACCTGGTGGGGACCCATAAGAAAGGGACAGAAGTGGCCAGACAAGTCTGGGATGAAAGGAGCAAAATCAAAATACAAGGCTGCCCTTGTCATCCACCTCTCGGTCTCTCGCCCACATCTCTGTCTCTTTCAAGTGTCTCCTTCCATGTCCCCCAAGTCCCTGGTACAGGTCCACAACCCAGACACAAACCTTGTGCTCGCTCAACTCCATGTGCCTCCTCCAAGTTTCCTTCTTGATCCCCTCCTTTCTCCCAGTCTTCCCTAGCTTCTCCCCTAGCCCAGCTCCACCCTTCCTTAGGGTAGGGCAGGGAACAAACCTCCCCTTTCCTGTTACAGTTATTTTAATATTCTCTCTTTTTTTTTTTAAAGATTTATTTATTTATTCATTCATACAAGCACTGGGTACAGTCAGAAGCGCGGGAGGGTGAGAGAATTCACCAGAGTCAGAGCAGGGAGCAGAGCAGGCAGAAGGACCGAAGTACACTGCTGAGGGGAGCAGCGGGCGGCAGGAGAGGTCTGCGCGCCATGTGGGACCCTCCTCCGGTGGCCTGGGAGCAGCCGGGGATCGAACCGGCACTGCAGAGGCTGCGGGCAGCTTTGCAACCCAGCGCTCAACCGCTGCGCCACCGGGGAGGCCCTATTTTAATATTCTCTTTTTATCAACATTGTAAGGCAGATAAGGTGAGATTCTAGATTTTGCATGTGAAGAAGGTAAGTAAGTTGCTACTAATCAAACACTCAAGGCGGGGGTTACTGGGGATTGCTTTGGCTCCTAATCAGGACTGCCCAGTTCTTTATATTGCTTGTTAACCAAGCATCATGAGCAGAAGGAATTTTAGGAGTGCTTTTAGAGGGCACTCTAAAATAGAAAAGGCACCTCAGGATGCATGGTTCTAGTATTTCAGGGCTCAGTCGCTGGAGGGGTATATTTGTGGTAGAGGATACTTCCAGCCTTCAGATCATGGCCTTCATATCAGAAAATAGGCAATTCTTGTAATCACTGTAAAATGCTCCTGTGATTGCTTAATTTTTCTTCCCTTTTCTCAAGCAGATGAAAAACTCGGAGAACCGTCATGCGGTGAGTTCGCAGTACAGGATGCATTCTTACTACCCGCCTCCCTCCTACCTGGGCCAGAGCGTGTCCCAGATCTTCACTTTCGAGGATGGGCCTTCCTACGCAGAAGCCAAAGCGAGTGGTAGGTGTTTGTTAATACAGATTGGGGTTCTGGTAAGGAGGGTGGGTACCCAATGCTGGTCTCTTGCTCTCTAGCCAGTAAGGAACTGTTGGAAAGTTCATGGCTGTGTGACTCTTATAGAAGTATCCTTTAAAGTATTTAGTTATGTAATGTTTTTGCTTTGCTAGATTCTTAATATCATGTTTGTCTTTTGTATTCACAAAAGTAATGAGAATAAGATGAGAGACTCCCAACAAAAGCTGAAAATGTATTTTCTGGAGAATCAATTTGAAACACAGGGGCACTTTCAGTGTGGTTCAAACTCTGATGTTTTTTGTGAAGTGAATTTCTAAGTACTGAGCACTCTTTTTCCAAAACTTTTCCATTTTAAAATTGAAGGTGTATCTATCTTTTGGGGGAGGACATAAAATAACATAGTAAAACATTTTTTTTTAATACAGTAGACCTCAGAGTTTATGCAGTAGCAATGCAAATAACTCTAATGTAATGGCTTTAAAATGAAAAATGAAGGTTTAATGAACCAAAGCACTTTGAAATATACGATTCCTCAACTTCAAATTTAACCTTCTCCCCAACATTTACTCTGCTTTGATAGGCAGTTCTTTTATGGCTGCTGTGTTTTTAGAGCCTTTTTTTAAACTTGAGCATCATCTTTTTTTCTTTTTAAAGATTTATTTATTTATGCAAGCCCTGGGGTACAGGCCAGAGGCACAGCAGGGTGAGAGAATTCACCAGAGACAGAGCAGGGAGCAGAACAGGCAGAAGGACCGAAGTACACTGCTGAGGGGAACAGCAGGCGAGACAGGAGAGGTCTGCCTTGCCATGTGGGAATCTCCCCGGCTGGCTGGGAATCGAACCCGCACAGCAGAGGCTGCGGCCAGCTTCACAGTGCTGCGCTCAACCCCCTGTACCACTGGGGAGGCCCCTGAGCATCATCTTTTGATCTAAGAAAGTGAGAAGCAGATACAATTGGGATTGTAAGTGGAAATTAGAGTGGTGAGCGTGAATTTGTAGAGAAAATGGCTACTGCTGTAAATAAGTTTGTTTTTTAAATAACTTGAATCTATAGAGAACCGGTAAGGCAAGTACTTAGCGAATGAGATTCAGATCTGTGCTTTGATTTACAAACTTAGAACATTGAAGTCTAAAAAACTGAGTAAGTTTTGTGTTTTAATTATCATTCTAAAATAAAATAAAGGAATTCTATTAATATGGAATGTAGCTCTGCGGACCAATCAGTTTGAGCTATAGACAGACTGATGTATGCATTGTTGAGTGCAATTTGACTTTAATAACCATTTTTGTCAGGGACAGACAAGTAAACTGTATTGTAAATATTCATGCCACATAATATTCATACTTCTTTCATGCTACCTTTGATTCTATCTATGGATCTGGAGTGTAAGCTCCTTGAGGACAGAAAAACATCTCACACATCTTTTTATCTGCTATGAAGCCTTTTGTTCTTTCTATAATGGTTGAGTGAATGAATGAACAAAATGTAGGTATTTTTGAGTGAGCTTGCTCTGTAAGGAAACACAGTCTGTAAGGCAGGAACCCTGACTCATTGTCGGTGCACAATCTAAGCAAGGAGCAGCTAAGGAAATGTGTTTATACAGAAACTTAGGACTGAAACCTGCTTTCTGGAAGAAATTGCTTGAGCTTCTTGCTTCAGGAATATGAAATGTTTTTAGAAGTGCTGGCATTCTTGAGACAAAGGTGTAAATTCAGAGAATGGCGGTCAGACAAAAAGATAGGAGGGAATTTATTTGAGCAGAGAGGAATGAATTTGGAGAGGAGCAGGCATCTGAATTTATGGCAGGAAAGGGAAAGACAGAGGAAAGAGGTTACAGTCCAAGAAAGCAAAGGCCAGCTGCACCACTGTTCACAGGGAAAGGCTGGACAAAAAACAACTAGAATTTCTTAAAAATTTCTGGCAATATTATTGTTTGAAAGTATGAGCAGGTTCCATAATTGATCTTCTCTACTGTCACTCACCAGTAATTAACTAGGAAGGTCAGACTTGGGATGTGAGGGTCTTAGCTAGCAAGAAACTGCAATGGAATGTCAGTAGTGCCCACCTCAGAATTGTCATGTAAGGAGAATGTAAATACATAGAAAATTCAAATCCCAGCTAATTTTTCAAAGATACATGGCTTTATGACCTCCAAATATATGCTAATTTGGGCTTCTGCATTGCATGCAATTTCTACAGCGCAGATGGGAAGGGGAGAGGAAAAAGGGAACTGTGTTTGGGGTTTAACAAGGACACTCCAGATATCATCTCTTAGGGAATTAGATCCTTAATTTTGTCATCACCATTGACACTGAGGAGCACTTTGAGGACTAGTTAGTCACAGAGGCTGACTGATAACTAGTTCATCAGTTCTAGCAAATTTGAGGTGAGGTCTTTTGGTTGCATTAATAAGTAAATTATGATTTGTAAATAGCATGTCAATTCTTATGAGTGGGAACTTCTAAATATTTTTAAAGACATTTTCAGGAGGTTTAATGTTTCCTGTAAAGTCTCATTTATATATAAAGTTGTCTATCAAATATTTTTTATTCAGTTTCTTTAAAGATAAGCTCTACCTGCCCTCACTATGTAAAAAAATAAATCTGAGTTCATCATTTTCCTCAGCATTGCAATATGAAGATAGAACATTAAGGGGAAAGTAATTACAGGGCAAGTTTTCCTTTTGTCCTGTTGCGACTATTTAATTCTTTTTGGGAAAAAGGCTAGGAGGTATTCTCTCTCCTTTCCATGTGCTGAAAAATGTTTGAAGGTAGAGCAGAGAGATGGAGGGGGCTGAATCACATAGGACTTTGGAACCCTTTGGAAGCACTCTGGGTTTTATTTCAAGTGAGATGGGAAGCCATTAGAGAATTCCAGCAAGAGTGACATGTCTGCCTGTGTTTTTTAGTATCACTCTGGCTACTTAAGAGTAGATTGTAAGGGGCCTCCCCGGTGGCGCAGAGGTTGAGCGCTGGGTTGCGAAGCTGTCCGTCAGCCTCTGCAGCGCCGGTTCGATCCCCGGCTGCTCCCCGGCCACCGGAGGAGGGTCCCACATGGTGCGCAGACCTCTCCTGCCACCCGCTGCTCCCCTCAGCAGTGTACTTCGGTCCTCCTGCCTGCTCTGCTTACCGCTTTGGCTCTGGTGAATTCTCTCACCCTCCTACACTTCTGACTGTACCCAGTGCTTGCATGAATGTATGTATAAATCAATCAATCAATCAATAAATCTTTAAAAAAAAAAAAAAAAAGTTTAAAAAAAAAAAAAAAAAAAAAAGAGTAGATTGTAGGGATCGAGGTTGAAGCAGGAGACATGTTAGAAGATGGAGTGATTCTGACAAGAGATGTGAGTGGCTTAGTCAGGGTGGGCATTGGGAGTGATGACATGGTTGAATTCCTGGTATATTTTAAAGATAGAATCAACAAGGTTTGCTAATGGATTTGGGATATGACAGGAAAAAAAAGAGTGAAGAATGACTCCATAATTTTTGATCTGACTTTGTGGGAAATTGGGATGTCCATTTATTGAGGTAGAATAGACCATGGGAAAAATAAGTTTGTGGGAATTAGAAGTTTAATTTTGTAAATGTTAAGTTTGAGATGTTCATGAGTGTTCCAGGTAGTTGCTCGAGGAGTAATTAAATGTATGAAATATGAAGTTAAGGGAAGATATGCCTGCTGGAAAGAAAAACTTGGGTGTTCAGTGCACAAGTGTTACTTGAAATCAATATGGTGAGATCCCCTGGAGAAGTGTAGATAGAGAAGAATAAAATACCAAGGACTGAGCCCTGTGGCCCTTCAGTGCTTAGAGGTTTGGTAGATGAGGAGAACCAGCCAAGAAGGGAGTTATGGGAGCAACCCCTGAGGTAGAAGGAAAACTTAAGGAGAAGTGGTATCTTGGAAGTCAAGTATCGAAAGCATTTCAATGAAGAGTCTAGTAAATCTGTCAGACCAGATGACGTAAGGACTGAGTTTGAAAGCTAGAAATGTCACATCCTGTGCTTCTGCTTCTTTAGTCTCTTCCAGCTCAGGTAGCATGGCAGTGCCATGCTGTGCCAACTCAGCCTTCCCATGCAGTCAACCTCTGCTCTTTTTCCAGTGGAAAGAAATACACATCTGAGGTGTTTCCTTTGTGTCATGAAGTAGTCATATATTACACATGTAGAATGTCAACAGCTCTGTAAAACAAAATGAAGATCATCTACATTTTACTCAAAGAGCAGATGGCCAAGGTCAGTGGAAGGGCTTTTCTGAGTTCCAGGTCTCAAATCCTTTGCTCATATCTGGGCAGCTTGCAGATCTATGTGTTCCCTAACATGGGAATCAATGACTCCAGAAGTTTCTGATTTAACTGCTGGCGTATGCCGCTTCCCCCACAGTTGTCATGACTAAACAGAAAATGGTTAAGCTTTCACTGTACAGAGTGGCTATGCTGTGAGAGCTGGATTTTAGTAAAAGATCGTCTGACTGATTGTCCCAGTTTTGCAGATATGAGCAGTGAGGTTGTGCTGCCTCTTGAAAGCTCCCTCAGATCTCCTCTCTTTTGGTCCAGGATGTCAAAGTGACCTTTTATGTCAGATGATGGATGGGTGGCTGGGTGGGGTGGTAAATACATATCTAAGGAGGTTACCCGCAACTCACCAGCTGTTTAACCTTGGGAGTACTGAACTATATGGCTGGCTCGGTTTCCTCACCTGTTAACGGAGGGTGACCAGCTGGCGCTGACACATTCATGCAGGTGATATGAGAATGAAATCGTGACCATATGTAAACAAGCTGGGTATATCACATAATATAAGGAGAGACAGCAGGATACTGATAACTTTCACCAGTCTTTTGTGTTGGTGTGTCAAGTAGTTCTTATTAGGTAAAGATGCTCTGGAAATATTTTAGTCTTGCTCAGACAGGATGGAGAGCCAGCCATGGATTCTTTGGGCTGCTTTTGTCTAGTATATTCCACAATGAATTGTATGGAAGCATTTAGAAG